CACAGGAAACGCATACTGGCCTCCCTGGGCGAGAGGTTACGACTCATCGAGGACTTGGGCTTAGATGACCTGGACTTTGATAAACTGGTACAGGAGTTTAATACGGAATTGGTGCATGCTTATTTTTATTTAAATAATTTTATTGTTAAGTTATTTTGATTTAATATTAACGAATTATTTAATTTAATTGTAACTGTAACACTGTTTAAAAGTTTTATATCATTTTTACTCAATAATTATAGTTTAATATTTGGTCAAGTAGTGATTTTATTTTTTTAGAACATTTATTTAAATATTCAATTATGTTACACTGTATTAATTTATTAATAGTAAATAAGCAATTTGAATAATAGTCTGTAACATGTTTATAAAGCTTTATATGAATTTAACAAATGAATATATATTTTAATCTTGGGTAAAAGTCGAAAGTCTATGCTTATTTTTAATAGTGTTTAATTTAATTTTTGTTTATCTTTAAATAATGTATATTGATCAATTTAAATTTTTGAAAGCATTTTATATAAATTAATTAATTTTTGTGAACAGAATCTCAATATAAGCCAACTGTCCGTCGATGAAGGACTGGGCGACACGTGTTCGACACTCACCGCTAACTCCAGCTCTACTGCCGCCGACAAAAACCGGAAGTCCGACCCAAACCCACCTAAAGTCGAGTCCAAGCCCACGAAACCCGACACAACAGAAACTACAACTCAATGGAAACACCAGAACCGGGAGCTAATCGACAGTTCCTGCAAATATACGGCCAGTTATTTAGGCTCAACACTGGTCCGGGAGCTCCGGGGTATTGACTCTACCCGTGCGTCCATTCAAAAGCTCAAACTGTCGACTAAAGGGATCGCAAAAATACCGCAAATAGTTTTGTCCATTAGTTATACAGGCGTTCAGTTCATTGATGCTGAGACACAGGTATGAAAATTTTGACATTTTTTTTAATTTTGGGCTAAATTTCTGTTTACGGACCCATAGGTTATGGTATGCGAGCACTCCATACGGAATATACAGTGTATTTGTCAGGACAGCGAAGATTTGAATCATTTCGCGTATATAACCAAAGAGTTGGAGACTAATAACCATTACTGCCATGTCTTCTCATCTCATAATACGGTATTTATTAAAATAGAAAATTAACAAGTACATTTATAATTTATCATAACAGATTTTTATTACTTTTAATTATTATGTGAGAATAAGCTGTAAACAATTCATAATAATATAAGATTTATAATGAGTTCAGTAATAATTTTTTTATGAACACTTGAATGATGACTCCTTAGTGATAATAAGTCCATTATATCATATAATATTATTAAAATATTTTTAACGTTATGTTATATTTATAATTAGTAAATCATAAACTGTAATTACACCAAAACTCTTATTTAAAAAACTGTAAATATATCAATACTGTAGCTATTAATGTTATTTAATAATGTCATTCAATAGCTATCAAATGTATCTAAATGCAACCATCTATATTATATTAAAATAAGTTTTTTATTTTGCATGTAGGATTTGGTGACCGAGGTGATACTGACATTGGGACAGGCCTTCGAGATCGCCTATCAAATGGTATTAGAAAGCAGTGATAAATACAATAATCAAAGATTAACACCAAATATGATTACGAATACGTATAACAAGAATAATAGTAACAAATGTATGAACTTTTCTAATCCACAAACCATTCATAATAATAATAATAATGAGAATAATATAAATAACAAAAATAATGGCAAACAAACGGATAGTAATCACATGGATATGAATGACAAGAATATTCACAAAACTAATACTAATATTCCGAATGACATTCCAATGGATAATAAGAATAATTCACAGAATAATGAGAATATTGTGAGTAATAGTAATAATAAGAGTAATAAAAGTGAGAATAATTGTGTCAAACCTAACAACACATACATTACGACCATTAATATAACGGCCACTAATAGCGAGCAAAATAGCAAACAGCCAGCAACTACTACTAATATTGCTACCAGTAATACCGGTGCGAAACCCAAACCGCTTACCGATCAAAAACCTGTTATTAATAATTATAAGATAATTAAAAACGGTAATTATAAATAGATATAATATAAATATTATTTTATGTTTATAATTAAATCATTAATAAAACCTATGTGATTATTAAGTTATTTATTTATTTGAACCTGTAAATTAATATAGAAATGTATTTTGCACATAAAGTCAGATATTTAATTTAAATTTTGGTTTATTTTTTACTAACCATCTTTTAATCATGTGTATTCTTTCATATTTTAGTTTAGATATAATTTAATTTAAATTTTTAGTATTTAAAAAAATATATTGAATAAATGAAACAATAATTAAATTTATTTATTGGGACCTACAATATAATAAATAATTGTTATGAATATTATACGATACGTTTATCTAGGAGATTCTAAGCTGTAATTTTATTAAAATTACTAATATAACTTAAATAGTACTTGATTAATATTTAAACTTGGAATACTAAATACTAATCATTTTTTTATTAGATATATATTATGATATATTAATATTATATTTTATTTGTATTCATAATTTCAGGTCAAATGTCATCAAATGGTAAATCACGCAAACCGGATGACACGCATACCAGTGCCACCACCACCACAACCACAACCAGTAGCACCGGTAGCTCAATACCAGTGCCCACAGCATCAGTCATACCCGCGAAGTCGTCGTCGACGGCAACACCACCGACGACCCCATCGACTGCCGGTGCGACACAAACACCAGTACTACCGGCCCCGCAGCCGAAGCCACAGTCCAAACCCATACCGGCGTCCGGAAAGCCTTCGCCGCCAGTTATAGCCAAACACCAGGGCTTACGGCCTACACCCTCACCAAAGCCGTCGACTATACCAAAGTCGGTGCCAATACACGCGGGAACGGGAGGGACGGGTAGTACGCCGGCCATCACTCGACCCAAGCCGGTGCCGCCATTCAAACCGCAAATTTTGGCCAAACCTTCAAACAAATGATTATTTCGTGAATCAAATGAATACATGAAACTAGAAATACAATGACTTTTACGACACATTTATCTCATTATAAGTCTTAACTGAATATCCGATACAAACTATACTATAGTTTAAAATGTTTTAAAAAGTTATAAAAAGTGGGAAACAATTGAAAATAAAGTAAATAATTTTAGCATTTGATTAGACGTTTTAAAAATTACAATGCTCAAACATATAAACAGATAAACAATTTTTTGAATTAAAACTCTATTACAATATTTAAAACAAACAAATTTACACAATATTTGTCTCAATCTATATATTTCTGTCCCTTATCTGTGAGTTCATTATAACGTGTAGTGATTTTGGTTATCAATTATTTGACTGAACAAACAAAATGTTTTATGGTCATTTAAATAATACAAATATAATAATATTATTTTATGAGGACTTTTGCTGAATTTTAGTATAATATGTATAAATATAGTCCACATCCCTGTCCCCTAATACTTGACTCCATTTAAATCATAATAATATTTTTCTTTGTAATTATAATTCATTTGAAATATAATTAAATATTATATTTAGTAGACTCTATGAACAACTTTATGACAAAGTGTACAAGGTTACAAATATTGTCCATATTTAACGTACACTATAAGCATAACAAATAATGTCTACATTTATTTAAAATATACATATACTTGAGTAATTTTATTAACAAGTTAATTTATTCCTTAATAATTATTTTCAAGAAATTGTTTTTCATTATTTTGACTGAATTAATATGTTTATGATTTATATGATTGTTATTAAATATACAAATCACTTACGGATTGACAGACCAGTGGACAGTTGTGTCGGATGTGTATAGACTTCATGGATGTATAAACCGATTGAATGTACAGACAATACCTGTAATTATATAATGAATAATACGTTTCACTAATGAATACAAAAGTAATGTAATTGTTATGTAAGATATGAAATGACAGACGAGTTATGAATTGATTATTATTTTATTAAAAATACTAAAATATAATATAATTCTAATATATATTATGTTATGATTATTACTATTATTACTATTATTATAATTATTATCTCAATTAATTGGAAAACAAACAAATTATTTGTTAAATAAAATGTTCGCAAAATAATTGATGAAATAAATGAAATAAAATTTTAATTTAAACATTGTTGTCATATATTTATTAAACTGTACATTTTTGTTAATATTTAAAATAATATAAATGTTTATTTTATAATTAATTATACGGGATGAGTTAGTTAATTTATTTTTAAATAATGGCAGCGAAGACATGGATAAGAGTTTTATAGTTGTTTGTCAAACGATATGCATTTTTTGTTAGGATTTTTTAGCACATAACTTTAATTTTATTGTATACATAATTTAAATTGTTTATATAGAAACTGTACAATTATTAAATTAATATCGTAGAATAATAGAGTTTGCATTTTAATTAATTTAATTGGAAAGAGTAACATTCACTTAATATTGTATATTATAAAATAAATTTATTTATCAGTAACTTTTGGGAAGTGAAATCATCAGTAAATCTAAATGCAATTTATAAATTGAATTTAAGTTTAATTGCGAACTTTAATTATTTTAATTGAAATGTGTATTATTAATGAACAAAATAGGGTGGTCATTTTATTTTTATTATTTGTGGTGTCCATATTATTCAATTTCAAAGAGTTAGTCTCCAGAATAAAGTTTGGCATTTTCAAGAATCTCTATGGATAAATAAGCTGTGTATAGATTGAGATACACTTCACGTTAGAAAGCATTCCCGATAAAATGGGTTATTTCGTGGTTAATTGGTTTAAATCTTATTAATGTGTGTTCCGAAAACCAATTTCGAGTTTGAGCATGCATTTTTACCAGATATAAGTGATAAAACATTTAAATTAAATTAAATTACAAGAAAATTTACACAAAAATACATACCAAAGTATAGGCGGTAGACCAATTATTTGGACGTGAATAATACGGGTACTACAAATGACAAAAATAAAATAACCACCCTATTTTGTTCATTAATAACACATATTTCAATTAAAATAATTAAAGTTCACGATTAAACTTAAATTCCATTTATAAATTGTGTTTAAGATTTACTACAGATTTCACTTCCCAAACGATACTACTAATAACAATGTTGTAAAATATAGCTAATATTAAGTATTTTAAACTGTAGAATTTATTGTTAGCAATTTAAACCATGGTTAATGAACTTAATATTACACTTAAAAGGCTCTAATGTGATGGCCTTCCTGGGTGAGAGGTTACGCCTTATCGAGAACTTGGGCCTAGATGACCTGGACTTTGATAAACTGGTACAGGAGTTAAATACAGAATTGATACCTTGGTTATTGAATGATTATTAGTATTATAATGATTAATTTATTATTCATTTATAATTATATTATTAAATAAGCTAAATATTGAATAAGTTAATTTAACAATATACTGTAATATTTTTAAAAAGTTTGTTAGCAATTTAACATTATGAAGTAATACATACTTATGGATTCTTATCCTGGCGATAATTATATATATATTTAATATTATTTTAAAACTTTAATTTAAATTTATTTTAATTCAATAATAACAAATTATACTGGAGACATACACAATCTATATCATTTAATATAAATATTATTTGATGATTATAATTTAGTAATTAATAAAATTATCTATATGCATTGTAGTTATTCAGTTTTTAATTTGTACCTGTAGATTAATATAGAAATGTTGTATACTTACAAAGGCAGATTTTCTATTTTAATTTTTGGTATAATACAAATTTCTCATTTTTATTCTTTTGAATTATTTTTTAGTTAAAATGTAATCCAATTTAAAATTTTAGAAAAATGCGGACTTATTATGTGATACTTTTAGCTAGGAATTTTATAATAATCTAAACTGTAATTTTGTCTAAATAACTAATATCAATTAAATAGTACAAGATTAATTTTTTAGATTGGAGTATTTTCCGAACATCATTGTATAATTAGATAATTAACATTTTATTTGTATTTATAATTTCAGGTTAAATGTCATCAAACGGCAAATCACGCAAACCAAATGAGATACATACCAGTGTCAACTACACCACAACCACTACTATTAGCACCGGTAGCTCAATACCAGTGCCCACAGCATCAGTCATACCCGCGAAGTCTGCAACAACACCGACGACCACATCGACTGCGGGCGTTATAATGATTTAATTTGGTTTGAAAGTCAAATCCATTTCGAAATATATTTTTAAAAATATTCAGAAAAACCTTTTAATTATATTTGACTCTAAAATATAAAAATCAATTATAAATTCAAGTACAAAATAAAGGTGTTGGTAATTATTGTATATTTTATATTCCGAGAAGTGTATTAGAAAAAATATTTTATTAAAAATATTATACAATTTTCAAAAATATGTCAAGGGTACTGAAAGCAACCATTTAGTTTGTTAGTTAACTTTTTCATCGTGACTTCATCTCTAACACTGATCATCACATATATCACATTGATCATTTATTATTGATTTTAGTGATTGGAGTTAATGAGAAATTTATAAATTAGGATAAATAAATAAAACCTGTATTCCAAGGACTGATTCAGTAATAAACACTTAAAGCAATGTGCTTTGTATTCACACTTTTTTAGTGTAACTTATAACCACATTTTAATTAAATATACACTTAAAATAATACTTACGAGTTAGTGGTTTTAATTTTATAGAAAACCTATAACAAACTTAATATGACACTTCTAATCACATCAGATATGACCACAACTATTATTACTATTATCATCGCTTATTTAGTGTATAAATTATCAAAGTTCTACTATACTGTTTTTACATTACCACCAGGTCCTTTTCCAATCCCGATACTAGGGAATATATTATGTAAGTAACTAAAATCTATTGAAAATATATTGTAAATTAATCATATATATAATTGTTTCACTAGTATTTCGCACAAACAAACACTGGGACGATGTGTTCAGATCAGTTAGCAAACAATACGGACCGGTATTCACGGTATGGTTGGGAACTGTACCCAATGTGTTCGTAACGGACATAGAGCTCGCTCGGGAGGCTTTCCGCAAGAATGACTTCTCGGGAAGAGTTACCTCTTATCTTGGTATAAATTTAATTTAATTTAATAAAAAGTTGTGCATAATATGTATTTATATATACAGTATATGTATAACATTTATAATGAACTCAAACAGGGAGTCACTTCTCAAATGACAAATATAAAGACGTGGTGTTCACCGATTACGGACATACCTGGGAAGCACTCAGAAGGGTGGCCCACTCGGCCGTACTGTTAGCCTTTAGTTTGAAAGTCAATTAATTAAATAATTTAAATATTTTTCATTTTGTTTTATGAACAGAAAGTACTCAACAAATGACAAACTCGTGTATTTGGCCAAAGATTGTGTCCAACAAACTGTCAAAACTATGTTAGAAAATGAAGGACTGGACAAACCATTTGTTATAAAGGATTACATTTGTCTTATGTTTCTCAGCATATTAGCCACCAGTGCATTTAGTACAAGGTAATTGTTGCAATAATTGTAACTTATTACACAAAATAACAAATTTTTATTAGTCAGTATTATTATTATTTCATTTTAGTTATAGTATGGATGATACAGAATTCAAAATGTTAAAATACATATTAATAGACGTACATCGTGAGGTGGGTGCCAGGCTCATTTTATGGGAATTCTCGCCATTGATTAGACTATTGGACAGAAATGAAGTAGAAAAACACAACAAAGTGATGGAAAACTTGGTTTTAATGATAAGAAATAAATTCAAATCTCATTACTCGGACTACTCGGCGGCTATTGAGAGAGACTTTTGTGATGCACTCATAAGTGCTAAGAATGAGGCCCTCAGGGGTCACAAGGAATCGTCCCCTTATTTGACTGACGATAACCTGGCGATGGCTGTGTTTGACCTCTTCATTGCCGGCTCTGAATCCTCGGAAAACTCCTTTCAATGGATGCTTCTTCTAATGACATACTATCCGGAAGTCCAGAAAAAGTTGAGACAAGAGATTGAGACACAAATCGGAGACCGAATGCCAACACATGAGGACAGGAATCGATGCCATTATGTCATGGCTTTCATCGCTGAGACCCTGAGGTTCAGGAATATGATGCCCACCGGTCTGTACCACAAGGCTGTGGTCACCAGTAAAATAGGTATTAAAATAATTACCTGGACAATAGTATAAACAATTGTAATTATGTTGATTATATAGGAAAATATACAATTCCTGAAGGTATGGCAGTTTTTGTGCATCAGGGCATCATCTGTCGTAATGATAAGGATTGGGCCAAAGGTAATGAGTTCATACCCGAGAGGTTTCTGGACAGTGAGGGACAGTACATGACTACCCGTCCAAAGGCGTACATCCCGTTCGGTGTCGGACGACGTGTTTGTTTGGGCGAGAAGTTAGCCATCGCTGACCTCTTCCTGGTTTTGGTCACATTTTTACAGTCGACTCAAGACTACGATATGGTGTCAGAGAGCAGTACGGGTATCGCTGCCGACCCTAACATTTCCATATCATTTAGTACTTCGGAATATAAAATAACTTTTTCTAAAAGATTACAATCGACTAGACTTTAAAAATACTCTAATAACTACCATTATTATTCATTCACTTTATTGTTTTGTAAAAGTTAATTTTTAAAAATTATATTTATTTTCCTTTTAGTGTATAATTTCATTTGTATAATTTGTATACTTTATTAAATAAATATTTTAGAATTTATTGTAATATGATAAATTATAAATTTAAAACACTATATAAACTCTATACATTTTTGCATTGAAATACATTCATTGCTAGTATAATTTAGTATAGTATAGAGATTTTATAGCGCGTCCCTAATATAATCACCGATTTGTCCACCTAAGACATTCCGCTAGATTACAGGACCTGGGTAGTTTTATTATATAATACCATAGCATACGACTATAATTCACACGGTTTTAATTGCAATTAACGGAAACACTTGTCGTTCTCGCATTGTAAGCCAAGAGATTTTTATCTAATCATTGTTTTAATAAATATATTTTAAAACTTTTGAAGGGCTGTCATGTGATGGACGACTCGGATCCGTTGGGAATCTGAGTGACAAACGCCTCGCACAGGGATCGGGTGCTTATGGCGACTAAACAGTTGCCACGAGTGAAGCTTCATTCATATGTGTATAAATGGTTTCCAAAGCATCGTTTCTGTTCATACAAATAGTTGACTTTGATTTATAGCTAATGTATTACTCAGGTGTATTATGTATGCATACAGTACTACTGTATGTGACTATTTGTATGAACAGAAACGATGGTCTGGAAACCACTCGTACATGTGTGATTTCAATCCGATAGGTAGTATAATTTTAATATGCACTATAGTTTACGCATTTTTACACAACTCTTAGATTTTGTGAAACTAAGTGACAGTAAGTCATAAGAGATAAAAAAAGACAATTATGATAACACCATATGATTAGGTCCTTAAGACTGACTATAGATATAAAGTGATAGTGAATGGCAGATGCAATGGTTGTGTTGGATGTGATGGTTGTGAACCTCTATTATGCAGACAATTAGTATTTCTATGCAATAGACGTCATATCATATGATACGAGGATTTCCAATGTTTGCAATCATTTCAATGCATTCATTGCCTGTCTTTACGTAGAATTGCGTTCAAAGTTATATTTAATGTTAAACTAAACAATTATTTTAATTGAAATTATTTTTTTACAAAACAAGTTTGGGGTGAATGGAAGAGAATTGTTGGACAGATTTCAATTTCAAGAATTATTATATTAATCAATTAAAGATATTGAATTGTATAAGTTTGGAAAGTTTGAGAGTGTTGGATACGGAGGAACCATTCAGTAAGAAATTGAATATATTTGATATCCCGGAAGAAGTGCCCAATCATGCGGTCATTAGTTATTGCGTAAACAGTCTGTCCCTTAACAGCAATCGCAACGCGAGTCAAGTGATGAACAGTCAACTCATTGCCACAAATAGTAACCAAAACACCGGAGAAACCGATTACGAACAAAGCGGAAGCGATAACATGGTTGAGTATTGTATCGATAATATTGTCTAAATATTTGATTAACTATTTCGTACACAACGATAATAGTGTCAAATGTCCGACGATTGCGGCGCCGATACTTTAACAACACTTACTCAGTCCTATTGTAGGAAAGCTTACCGTAGTCACAAAAATACTGTAAATGCGTTAAGAATTAAACGATATTGACTACTCACTGAATCTATATGTAGTCAAATCTAGTCAATGATGAAACTCATAACAAATGCATTCATTGCCTCTTAATTAACTACAGTATTATCATTGTATTCACAATAATCAATACAACAAAATGTTCTTAACTCTGATAACAAACATTAAGATTGCGTTTTAAAATCTATTATAATTTGAAACTGATTTCTGCGTTAAAATCAATTAAATGCTCTTTTTTGAATTTGTATTTTAAACAAATAACACAAAACAATTCATTAACATAACTTTAATCCACATCTAATCTGAAATTATAGTCAAACGACATGATTGTGTGATATTTAATTAATCAATATTTGACTGCTGTTTGACTGATATGTGTTAAACATGATTTATTTTCAGAAATAACTTTTAGTCGATAAACAATTTGAAATTAAATTGTATTTTAAATTATAGCAGTATTTGCGTAATAGAAATGCAAAAACTTAATAAATTGTCCTAATTTTAAATGTAAAAATATATAATTTATTAATTCATTATAGTTTAATTTCAATTTAAATAAATACTAAATTTTAATTATTCATTTAATACCTTATGTGATTATTTTAGGCGTAGAAACATAAGCCGGAAAAACCGGAACGATATTTGTTAAGAGCATATTTATAATTCACTGTACATTTAAAAGATAAAACCTTTATATATCACCAAGCTTACCATTGGTTTTACAGATTATAATTGAATCGATTGATCCTTTGTGTCGGTATCGGTTTAAATATTTGTGGAAAATTTGCTTACTAATATCGATATATAAACTTATAAACGATATATAAAAGTTTTTTCTTAGTAGAAGATTCGTCATTAAAATGTCATTAAATTTCAATGAATACTGCTTAGTACTATATTCAATGTTATTTTCGGATTTATAAGTTGCCAATATATCTGGTTTGAATTGTGTAAAATTCAACACATTGTCGCCACAATATTTATATATGAGTTGATACAGAATATCTTGAATATTTATATTAATATCATCATAATAATGCTTATTATTTTGAAGTATTCTCGTTATTGTGAGAGCTGGTTCAAATGTAGCTATGGGCAAATTAATTTTTTAAAATATATCTTCTGAAACTCCATATCCACATTTAATTTCTAATGCACGCAATAATATATATTTAAAAACATTTTGAACTTTCCTTTAATATAAAAATAAATAAAATTTGTTTGAATTATTTAAAAACAATATAATAATAATCTTACTGAACAGATTCATTATCTATTAAACCATATGTTGTAGGATCAAACATTATAATTGGCATAAACTAGAAATGAAAAATAAGTTTTATTAAATTTGACCAAAAGAAAAGGACGTTAATTACTAAATTTAACATAATTTTGTCATCGTGATTATGTGCTACACGGAACGTAATAAGACTTAAATCATTGTCATACTCCTGTTAATTAGTAAGAAATTTAATAAGACAATTGATTTAATATAATATAAATACTTGTGAAAAATTGTTGTGAATTGTGATGACTCTTCGGGAATTGTATTCAAACAGAATCTTTTGGTCTGATTCTGATATTAAGGCACTCAATAAGTTCATTGATTTAAATGTTTCAAAAATATAATTTTTGTATTGATTTCCCAATATATATTTAAAAATTTCAGATAGATCATTTGAACTACAATCATGCTGGATGTAATAATTTATATTTTCCGCCAAATTTTGTATTCCTTTAAAAAGTGTTGACTCATATCCTTTGAACATATCAACGCTTATATATCTCGGTATATAACCGATTGAATCCATCATTCTGACCGCCCAATAACGATGGTCTGCTTTTATTAGACTAACTGTTGCTTCCGTATTTATTGGATACGGGTTGTCGGTTATCGTGATGTCTGTTTGCACTGATGCTACCGACATATGAACCTTCAATGCATCTTTGACCCAAGCATATTCCGGTGTGATTGGCGAATTCATATCGGGTTCATAAACATCAGCACTATTTGTTTTGTTGTTATCATTAGTTTGTAGTTCAAATTGCCAACTTTGATCTAACTTTAATAAATTTGTATACATGATATCAATAGTTTGCTCAATTTCATCAATGGCTTCACCATTGTAATTATAATTCGTAGGCGCTATAAAGTTTAGTGGAACATCGAATTCAACATTAGCGGTTACTGTAATTGATTCATTATTAGTTCCGTCTGTGTTTGCTTTCTAAAATAATATTGGCGATAAAACATCAAGACAAATTGAAAATTTAAATTATAATCATAAAATTAGTGATAATAAAATTTACTAAATTAATTAATATTTTAAAAATAATATTTGTAATTAACAATTTTGGTCATTAATTTTTGACTAGGCATGCATAATTTAAGTATTGTTATAATATATTGTTATGTTATATTATTATTATAGACAGTATTATATAATTCTCATAATTTTAAATGTTAATTGTTAAATATTATGTTTAAGAATATTCTAAAAATATTATCCAATATATAAAACATGTATATAAAACGGGACTTATCGAAAAGGTCTAAATCCGAAAAGGCCTAAACTTGAATAACTAACTGACCAATGGTCTTTTGACTGAATTTAGGTTAGGTTAGGTTAGGTCAAGACACGTCTTTTCCACTTATCAAATTAAAAATATGTCCACTGGTCAGTTAGTTATATGAGTTTAGGCCTATTCGGGTTTAGACCATTTAAGGTAAAACCATATAAAACAAAACAGACTACCCCTTTTCAATTAAATAAAATATTAATCAAATACAATTCAGGGTGGTCACATTAAATAACAAAAAACTATTAAACTTAAATTTAGATTAAATGAAATTAAATAAGTTTATTACATTTTGGGAGGTTTGCGGTGGGAGACCATCAGTGCCTGTACTCAATGTATGCTCAGCAGGCATATGCCCATCCAATACTATGTGTTCCTGGTCATGAGTTTTACGTTTTTGTATTTATTAGGTTTTTTACGTTTTCCTTTTAAATCCTATTAATTAAATAATTTAAAAATATACTAACAGCAAATATATGTTATAAATTTAAATATATTAATATGTATTGTTGAATGCAAATTAAAAATTAAAATTTTAAATATATAATTACTAATATTATAAGCAATTATATTAATTAATATTTCAAATTAATAATATCGGCTAATTAAAAGTTACACAAAACACTATGGAACTACATAAAAATTAATCAAATATAATGCAGGATGGCCACATTAAATCACAAAAATATATTGTTTACTTCTGTTATAACTATAATATACGATTGAAAAACACTTATAAACTATTAAACTTAATTCAGATTAGATAAAATTAAATAAGTTTATTACATTTTGGGAGGTTTGTAGTGGGAGACCATCAATACCTGTACTCAATGTTTGGTCAGCAGGCATAGGCCCATCCAATAGTATGTGCTCCGGGTCATCAATTTTACGTTTTTTGTATTTATTAGGTGATGCACGCTTCCGTACTAACTCCTATTAATTTAATAATTTAAAAATATACTAACAGTAAATATATATTACAAATTTAAATATATTAATATGTATAATACTACCTGTCTCATTCCATTAGCTATACATTTATTAAATCGACATTTTTTACACATTTTATTGCCAGCCGTGAGTTTACACTTGCCGTCGGATTTACAAATCCATGCCTTAAGTAAAATCAAAAATTTTCAACACAAGTAAAGCATATAACTATTGTAATAAATCATTGCTGAATACGACACGTGATAAGCACACCTTCCCATTATCACCATGACTACTGTAATTAAGTTAAACTTTGATATCAAACTGACAATCTAACAACAAAATATTAATTAAGATTTATTGTTACAATAGTTATGGTGAATATAAGAGTATGTCCTTATAA